ATCTTGCCGTTGTGTCATTAATGAATGAGCAAACACCTAATTGTTTCATTCACAACCTGAAATAACTCTGCTTGACAGACCTGTTTTAAATATATAGATATAAATATAGTATATGCTGTATTCAGTCAATTTAGAAGCCAATGGAATGTGTATAAAACAATAGTGGAGGATTCCATCCAACTTTTATAAATATTCCACAAGAACTTAATCCCTTCACAATGCCTTTTAACTTTTCAAACGTAATTTATAAAGTAGAATTGTCCAAAACATTTTTGCATTTAGTTAAGGTTGTCTTCCATCATTATAACTGATCTAGAAAAGGAGCCAGAGGAAGATTATTCATTGGTTAATTTTGATGTTAGAAATTTCACTTTGATGTTAGAAGTTCTATCATAGGCTTAGAGGAAAAGCTTTAATTCATACAGCACTTGAATCTTTCCTTCTATATGGCCCTTTGTAATTTTAAGTGTTGGGGAGAAGAAACGATATAGGAATATTTTGTGTCTTAGTGCCCCCCCCATACAAACCTATAAATTTCAATCTTCCTGGTCTTTTGTCTAGACATCTTGGCAGCACTCGCCTCCCCTGCAACAACAATTCTGTTGACCTCAGTAACCACACCGGTGTATATACTGCCAAGGCCTTCTGCATATTTTGGAGAGGAAATGAAGTAGGTCTTTTGCGTTAGAGGTGCGTAACAGAAGCTGGCCTCAGCATAATTACCTTTCCTTGATCGGATCCCCCCTGAGTTATTGCCAATGCAAAGGAGAAGTGTAGTGGTCTCCATGCCATACCGGAGGCTGAGGGAAAGTTGATTGGATTTTTTCATATTTTCTAAGGCTCCCTCAATCATGTCTATACACTGAGAATTACTCAGAAGCACTGTGTTCCTTTTCCGAGCTTCCACTAGGAATGAAGGACTTACAAGTTCCAGCCTTACTTGCTTCAAGAGCTCAATGAGATGATCTGCACGCAACTTCCGACTGTGGTTAACCCATCTAAGGACTAAGTCCAAGATGCTCTCTTCTCTGGATACATTCAGATCATCGGATCTGATCAGGCTTAGCAGTTGCTGAGCTTCTATCTCTAGTATTTCTTCATGCTGGCTCACCTCAGTAAAGTGCTGATACAAATATTTCCTGGCTCGTTCAGATAGTTCTTCTGCCCCAATGTGCTTTGCAAAATAATAGATCCCTACAGAGTTGGAAGCTTCAATGTGGTCCATCATGTAGGTTTGACATTGACTAAACACATCGTCCATCTGCATAAAAAAGGCAGCAGTGGCCACATTTTGTACATTACAATTTGTGAGATGCAAGTCAGAAGTGTACATGTAGTGCAGGAGGACAGATATACTTTCAGCTGCTATGTCATGTAGCACAACTTCTCTCTGTGCGCATTCCATCAACCCACAAGTAAACATTGCTTTGAAATAGGGGCTAAAAGCAGCCAGGATCAATTTGTGGCAAGGGAATTTTTTTTCTTCAGCCACTAACACCACATCAATCATTTCAGTTAAATCTTTCATACATTTTAGTTGATCTAGTAAATTCAAACTATGCTGCTGCTTCCTTTTACCTCCAGCCTTGTAATCCATGATGGACTATATTTTAAAGTATTTTCTGGTGCTTATTGGAATTTTAAAATAGCTATTTGTACATCTGAGAGCTCTCGGAATGAAAGTCCTTCATCATTTCATTCCTAGAAAGGAGAAAGAAAAACAGTTGTGGTCTACAGGCAGTAAATGTTTTGAGCAAATGCATCAGAAATATATACTAATGTGGCTATTATAACAGAAAATCCACCTAGTGACATGGAATTAGGTTGTTTGGGACTTTGTATACCAAATTCCTTGCACTCAGAGATTTATGAAGCCCATTCCTTCTGGAAATTTGGGAAGCCATCCAAACAGCAGTGCCGTACCATGTTTTTAATCAGAATAAATGTTTAATGCCTACCATTAATGGCTACCATTTTTTAATTAATTGTATTGTCTTCCTTTGTTTTTTAATTTAACATTTTTATTCTATTATATGCTACCCAGTGTTTGGAGCGGGTTACAAAAACTGTGGAATGAATGAATGAATGACTTTATTTTCCAATTGAATAATAATTATGAAGAATATAGTATATTTTCCACTATAGAGCTTAATACCAAAGAATATTTTGATACTGCAGCAGATTTATTTTTAGTATTTCTGCCTAATTTCTAATGGTACTATAATATCTACAGTGACATATATAATATTCATTATATATATGCTAATAATTCATACAGTGTTGAATACATTGTAATGTTTAAATAATATTAAAAGGTTCATAAAAGAAACTTTGCAATCTTTATCCACCCAAATTCTTACATACAATCTAATGTAATTAAATGATGCTGTAACTTTCTTTAAACAGTCCAATAAGAATCTTTTGAGAACCCAATCACCAATTCTGTGCTGTACACACAGATAAATGCTAATGCTGTTATCTGACAAATCCATCTGTTAAAATCCCACATTAAGCTTTTCACAAGAACATTTTTCCTCTAGTTAACAATGTTTTCAACATTAAAAGAGGAGCATTACTAGATTCCATTCCCCCTCATCAAAGCCTGGATATGATTCTCAAACCAACTCTTGATGCATAGAAGACTCCCACTGAGATAACATTTTAATAACATTTTGAATTACTGTAGATATTCTGATCTGAAGAAGCCAGCATGGTATATGGGTTTAGATGCTGAACGAAGAGCAGGAAAACCCGAGTTCTATTCTTCCTTTTTGCATGGAAACTCACTGTGCACTCCATCTGCAACAAGCCAGCTGGAAAACAAAAACCCTCATTGCATCATGCATTGATAGCTTTGCGGTGAGGACGAGGTAAGCACAATGCAAAAACAAGCAGATACTGCAACCAAGTGGGATAAATGCTAAGAACAAAAGCAGTGGACAACCTGGTTTGATGGAGCTGCCTAGGTAGAGCTGCGACTCTAACAGTTCACAGGGAATACAAAGGGCAGGCAGGAAAGAACACCATCTCTCCTTGTTAGATCCTAATAGCTTATCAGAAAGGCTAATTGGGGATAAGTAAAACATACTATTTTATTCCTGGACATATAGGTTGCTATGGGAGACCAAACACTTGCAAAGATGTGAGCTCAACTTCCTGCAGAAAGGCAAGCTTGTACAGTGTTAAGAACGGTAAGATTGCAATATTCCTTTGCGCCTCATCCTAAAATACTCCTGGCAACTTGCACCCTGCCTTGCAGTGTTTAGTGACCTATTCACTTCAATGACACAGTCCAAACATTAGAGGACAGATCTTTCTTCTGCCACAAAGCTGGATGTTTTACAAGGTCACACAATAAAGCTAGCCTTCAGTTAATCTCTTCTGAAATTAGGCATGCTGGCCATAAATTTTAAGACACAGATTATTTGTTAAAGCCGAGTGCCACCCATGTTAAAGGCTTTTTCATTACAATTTTGGCATATACTGAGAGACAGCTATTGCTGCCATCTTAAAAGGATGGATACATGACTCCATTGCTTATTGTACTCACAATCCTTGGGGAAAATGTCCTCAGCGAGGCTGTCGTCCTGCCAGTGGGGGACCCACAAATTTCCTCTTAGCTTTCCCTCTCTGATCACCAATCAGCAAGCAAAACGGACAGGCTCAAGAAAATGATTCGATGGCTGGGTGAGATGATGATTATACTACGTTTTAATTCTATATTTTTATATAACTCAAAGCTAATCCTCCTGCCTTCTTTTCACCCCATGACATCAACCCTGTGAGGTGGGTTGGCATGAGAGAGAGAGGAATCGGCCCAAAGTCATCCAGCTGCCTAAAAGAAGTTGTCATGGTTCTGACAGATGAAACTCTTCAAAAGAACTTTGAGGCATTATTTACCTTAAAGAGTCTTTATTTTGAGTAGCATAATATTGGCACTGCATAATCAAATCCAAAAATTGAATTCCCCTCCCCTGAGCATATAGTATCAAAGCACAATTCCCTCCTCCAATTAACAGTCATAAATCACATTCCCCAATTAGCTCAAAGAGCAGGCTTCCTCTCCAGTTCTCCAGCCCACCAATTCTTTATCAGCTCTGGTTACAATAACCTTGTTTCTCACGTTAGGTTTAGTGTTGTTATGTCTAGCTGAACTCTCTTCACATCCCCCCTCCCAGCATCGTCTTACTCTAAAAGCAAAAGGTAAAAGATGGCTACATTTCCATCTGTTGTCAATGCAAAAACATCCAATGTTAGCAACAGAAGTCTTACCAGCTCCTGGTATCTAGGTCAGCACCTTCACCACTACACCAAACTGGCTCTCCAGTGGATTGGTTCTTGTTGTTACGATTTTAACAAAAATATAATCAAAAGGCCTAGCAAAACAGGAAAGTCTTAATTACTTCCCTGACAGTGGGAACAGGGAGAGCTAAGGGCAGTTCTCAAGGGAGCCTGTTCCACGGCTTGGAGCCCTTCACTTGCGCTGGCAACAAATAGGCCTTTGAAAAGGTTTAAGTGGGTCTTTCTGGTTGATCTTGAAGCCTGGGGAGGTTAAAGTTGAGATAGGCCATCTTGGGTAATCGGCTTTGAAGCTATCTTGAGACTTAAAAGTTTAAAACAGTGTAGCACAAAGAGAATATGATCCCCGGATTATGCAGCATGTAGCAGCCTCTTTGCTGCATTTTTATACCAGATGAAGCTTCTGCACTGTCTTCAGGGATTACTGTGTGAGGAATGCAATTCAGGTAGTTTAATAATGATATCACTAAAGTATAGATGACTGTTTTGAAATATTGCAACTGGACAGATTAATTTACAAAGACTGTAGTTCTATGGACAGAACAGTAGTACAAGTTTAAAAATGGGGGGACATGTGCTTCTGTGATTTGGTAAAATGAGTGAAATCCATAACTAATATCATATCAGAATTAAAATCTCATATCTGATATTGGTGAACGATATTACAAAGTTATGACTATGAAGAGGCTTATTCTGTAACATCATCTAACCTGCAATAACTGGAAACGTGTAAGCTTAATATATGCAAGGTTATTTTTTTTTACAATATTGTAAGTACAATGTTTTTATGAATTATTTGATTTAAACAAATGAAACTGAATTATTAGGATTTCATTGTTTTATTTTCAAAAGAAATATATCATATTTCAAAAGAAATATAATATATATATATATATATTATATTTCTGTTTATGTTTCTACTTCTAATTACCTATTTTGCATAGCTGTCATTCAATTTTCAAATCTGTCTGTTAATATTCTTTCTAATAATACCCATATGGGAATACCACTGGAAATATTAGTTACCATTTGACTTTTTTTGAAATGCTAAGTTTATTAGAAATAGTTGTCTTTAACTTTGGAAAGTTAATTACTTTTAATTAAGGTAGACAATCTCAATAGAGAAAGAATATTTGAGTTCCAGATAGTTATCTTTTCATTTTCTTGAATTACAGATAGGTTTGTAGAGATACAATATTTGCAGCCATTCATTTTTTCATGGTCAGACAGCAGCGAAGATGCTTAGAGCCCCAAATTATTAAGAGTATAATAGGAGTGGATATAACTGCAGGCATCATGTGTGGGGGCTTCTCTTATGGAATAGACTTCTCTGCAGAAAAAAACCCTGCTTTTTTGGAAGGCATTTGGGGATTCACTATGGAATTATTGTTCTTGTTATTTTTATTTACTGCATTATTATTGTATTTTACCCTTGGTATCAATATATCTCAAGTCCATTAGATGACTTGCATAAATGAAAGGAATTTCTATTTGAAAAAAAATGACAAAACAACTTTCTGTTAAATATAAATTGGTAAGGAAGCAAGCCACTGTTTTTTGATAAGTTTTATTAATTTTTTAAAATTAGAATCTTTAAAGCTTAGTAAACAATATGTTGTCTGGGTTCACATATTTAACATTAACTTCTTCAGTATAAATCTGTTCAGTACTGCACAATCCAGTATTTTTCCTTGATCTTCCTTTTTTCCCCATATTTTTCCCATTTCCCCATTAAACAATTACAATTCTTAATACTATTGATGTATACAAAATTAAATATAGACATCTTCATCATATTTTACTAATATTATAGAAATAACAATAATATCAATTCATAAGTCAATATCCTGTTTTTCTTGCTCTAATTAAAGTTTGATTTCCTGCCAATATTTAAAGTATCTTTGTCAGTTATGATTTTCTCAATATTAATTACATTTATATAGATAAAAAAATTACTCATATCAATCCTCTTACTTTCAAATTTCCCATATCAAAAAAGAAATGAAATGCTATTTTAATTCTAAATCATATCTTCCATTATAAAAATATAGTTATATCTAAGGGTCATCTATTCTTTTAATCATATCCAAACAAGTATATTAAACAGATAGTGCTCCCTCTGATAGATTAAATCCTCTGTTTTTTAAATCTAACTCTTGCTTTCTTTCTTTGTCAAGCAGCTTTCCAGGCCAGGGCAATTAAATCGCCGAAGAATTTTCTTTCTTTTTTGTGCAAGCTGCTTGGCATGAGAAAGACAATTTAGGTAGAGTATTTTTTTGGGGGGGGGGAACTCTGCCCATTCACATTCTCTAGACATTTCCCCTGCCCACTCTATGTTCCATTTTCTAGAATCTTCTTCCTTGTCATCAGGTGTATTTTGGAGAAAGGAGTAACTGGTCTTT